ATATGGCTGCTAGAAAATTTTAAATGACCTATGTGGTTCACTGTTTATTTCTATTGGATGACACTGGTCTAGACCTTCTTTCCTGGGCTGAGTTCCCATAGGTCACTTTACTGAACCCTTTCTTCATGACCTCAACATACAGCCACATTTCCACTGTCTTTTCCAAAGGCTCTAGAGTAGGCACCAATTCTCCCTATTCACCCTCAGAAAGTTGTCTGTCTACTCTGCCTCTGGCTCAGAGGCCACTGTGAGAGGATACCCAGATGTGTGCCTTGAACAGGTCATACGGGCACTTGGGGGCACTGTTGGGCAGGGTGAGGTCAAGGGAGTTGAACACCAATGTTCCTTGATGACTTGTGCAAGAGTAGGGGCCCCAAGGGCAAGGTCTGTGAGGTCCTGAGCAGGGCCAGGTGAGAATCTGCTGCTTAGTTTCCACATCTGTAAATGGGTAGAATTACTACCCACCTCATAACAGTGTAAGAATTATAGTGAAACCTGAGAGAGCTAGAACTCCATGAGACTGCCTTATTTTTCTGGGTCTCGCAAATTTTCTGCCTTTGATAGAATGCAGTCTTACCACTTTTCTTTCACTTGTTTTAGTTGCAAATATTTTAGTTTTCCTTCTCTGACAGATTTCTGCCTGTCAGTTCCCAGCTTTTGCAGGTTTTGCTTTAAATGCAATAATAGATGAAAACACTTAGCATGGCATTGAAAAAATAAGGGCAGAAATCTGTCCTGAAGCTGTCCTATTTTATGCTTTGGATTTATTTCCTTCCTGGATAAATTTCCTTTTGAGAATTCATATTGTGGGCTTTTACCCTTTGTCTCTCTCTGCATAGTACAACCTTTAGGGCAAAGAGGGGAGGGCCTTGCGCAGCAGTGGGCCCTGAGATGCTGAGAAAGAAGATGTCCTTGACCTCATGCCTGGGAGGCAGGCCTAGGGATGTCACTGCCCTGAAGGGTGGCTGGGATTGAGGAGGCCTACATGGCTGACCCAGCACCCCAGGGAGCCCTGCCTTTGCAGTACTCAGCCTTTTCTGAAATGAGCAGGTGATGACTTGGCTGGAGCATTGAGGCTGTGGCCACAACTTGCCCACTCAGGCAATACTATCCAGGAATGTGAACTGGTGAGGTGTGTTCCCCACTAGACTCAAGTTTACAAACCAGATGTCATCTCCAAGCTGGAGGAAGGGAAGGGTCTCCTGGCCAGTGGAAAGAAAATCCCAAGATTTAAAATGTGGCATCATTCCCACTGGAGCTGGGCAGCCAAAGTGGAGGCAGGTGAAGTACTGGATCTCACCTCAGAAAGTCCAGAAGAGACAGCCCAAGGCTGACTCGATCCAACAAGGAACAGATCTGGGGCCTGAATACTCAGTGCCATGGTAGAGGGGGAGGTGGTGGTGCTGGTTCTTGCTTCATATTTTAAGGGGTTTTCTGCTTCATTGAGAGGAAAGAAAAACAGTGGCAGTCAAGTTAGTTCTGACCTATGGTGACCCCATGGGTGTCAGAGTAGAACTGCACCCGTGGGGTTTTCAGTGGCTGATATTTTAGAAGTATGTCTCCAGGTCTTTTTTTTCTGAAGCACCTGTAGGTGGACTTGAACCTCCAAGTTTTTAGTTAGCAGCCAAACTGTTAACCTTTTTTTTTTAAAAATTTTTTTATTGTGATTTGGGTGAGAGTTTACGGAACAAATTCATTTTCCATACAGCAGTTCATACACATTTTATCTCATGACGTTGCCTACAATTCCCCACAGTGTAACAGCTCTCTCCCCATTCTTCCTGGTAGATACCTCTTCCCTGTGTCCTTCCCTCCCATGCACTCCTTCCCTCCCACACACTCCTGCCCCCACCCCCAGCTGTCTCCCTGTACAAATGTTGCCCTTTTCTTCTCCCACGATTGATCGATTGATCGCTCCAAGTAGTGTATCTACCTGATGTAAATGTTCACCCCATATGCCTGTCTGTTGTTTGACTGGAAGCCACAGGAGTGAGTTCAATTCCAGACCTGAAGAGTAACTAGGGGACATAGTCTCAGAGGTCTCACCAGGCTTTATCAGGCCAGTAAACCTGGTCTTTTTTTTTTTTTATTTCTAAATGATTTTGAGTTTTGTTCCACATTGTTCTCCCACTCCCAGGATCTACTACATAGATTCCCTCTCTGAGTGGTTGACAGTGGTAGCCAGGCACCAACTAGTTCTTCTGGTCTCAGTCATATAGGCTGAGGATCACATGATGTACCAGGCACCTGAACTAATTATCTCCATGAGTCTTTGGTTTTCTTCATTCTTCTTTGCTCTAGACAAGGAAAGACCCATCGTTGCATCTAGATGGCTGCTTGCAAGCTTTTAAGATCCCAGTCACTATTTGCCAAAGTAGGATGTGGAACAATGTTTTGTGTAGTATGTTATGCCAATTGAGCTTGACATCCCCTGTGACCATAGTCCTGAGCCCAGCCCACAGGTCCAACCACTCACTCCTTCTGGGTAGCTGGCTGTAGCCAAAAAGCCACCACAACCTTGCCCTTATCAGCTTTACTGTACATCCAAATATTCTTACAGCACATACAGATATGCATGTTGAATCATTATTTGCTAACCCTATAGATGGTCATGGGCACACTCCCCCCTTCCTAGACATACCTGATCGTTCAGCCTGTCCACGCATCTATCCACCTGTAGATCAATACTTCCATCCCTGAAAATGCAGTACTGTACATGCAATAGGGTTCACCTTTGTTGTCTGTACCTCTCATGTACCTCTTTATGTCTTCATCTTCCTCAATGCTATTAACCATTTGTACCACTGTTGTTGTTGTTATTTGCCATCGAGTCGGCCCCGACTCCTAGCGACCCCTCCTTGGGTTTCCGAGGCAGTTATCACTACGGAAGTAGGATTGCCCAACCTTCCTTCCGAGGACTAGGGACTCTAAAAAGAAAGAAACAAGGTGTAACAAAAGAAGAATAGAAGGGCATGACATGGGTTTTAGAGCCTTCACAGGCCTCATTCCTCATCAACAGTTCCTGGAGCTTCTCCAAGATGATATCACGGTGCTGCCTCCATGGCCTTCTCCTCTGGTTTTATTAGCCAGAATATGTAGCTTAAGCTTACTCCCTCCCCGCCCCCCTTTAAAATATTTAAAATTTAGGAACTGCCATTGGTTTATTACAGACTTTAAAGAGAAAATCCATTTTACTTTTCTGTTTATAAAAGCACTAAATGTTGTTGTGGACATTTTGAAAGATACCAAAAAGCAGAAAGAAAAGAAAATTCCCCGTGGCCCCACTAGCCAGGGACAGCCCGTTTGTTTACATTTTGGTATGTTTCTTTCTGGTCTTTTCAAACAGAGGTGTGTGTGTGTGTGTGTTTGTTTCGTTTTGTTTTTCATAGTTATGTTTATGGTCTATATGCAGTTTAGGGGGTGTTTCCGATGTTATTGGGAAATCTTGGTAACCATTGTTTTTGATGGCAGCAGGACAAAGCTTAAGTCGTTCCCTCACCATAGATGTTAGAGTTGGTTCTAATTTTCCCATTTGGTAAATAATGCAGTTATGGGGAAAAAAAGGTATTGCATCTATCTGTGGAAGAGAACAGGCAAGCAAAGGGATTGGGCCATAGTGAGGATGAAAATTCAGAAAGGGAAACTCTCAGGGGCTGAGATTGTTTGCCATCTTATTGGGGAAGGGTCTCACAGGGTGGCTCCTAGAGGCAGGCCCAGGCCAAAGGTGGCTGCCGTCTGAGGCAGATTTCCTGAGAAAAGTCTCTGTTGCCACAGAAATGTGAAACGTTGGTTCAGTAGTAGAATCCTCACCTTCTATGCAGGAGCTCTGGGTTCAGTTCCCAGCCAATGTACCTCATGTTTAGCCACCACTCATCTGTCAGTGGAGGCTTGAGTTTTGCTATGATACAGAACAGGTTTCAGCAGAGCTTCCAGACTAAGACAGACTAGGAAAGAAGGCCTGGTGATCTACTTCCAAAAACCCAGCCAATAAAAACCCAATGGATTAGAATGGTCTGATCCACAACCAACCATGTTGATGGAGTAGGACCACACTGCAGTCCATTCTATCATGCATGGTGTCACCATGAGCCAGGGGCTGCCTCAATGGCAGCTAACAACAGGAGTGGATGTGATGAGCTGCTTGGAAATGGTGAGCTCCTGTCACAGTAAGTGACACTAGGAGTACTTTCCTCCACTTAGCAAGAGGTTGGATTGAATCACCATCAATTCCATCCCAACTCTCAGGTTTTGTGAGCTTTGATTAAAACCATCAGAAATCTCTTAGCTAATGGTGAACTGGTAGCATAGTGCCTAAAGCACTTGACTGCTAACCAGAAAGCTGGCGGTTCAAACCCACCAGCTGCTCCTCAGAAGGAAGATGGGGCAATCTACTTCTGTAGTGATACTGCCTCAGAAACCCAAAGAGGGGTCGCTATGAGTCGGGCCTGACTTGATGGCAAATAACAACAACAACAATGGTGAACCAGCCCTTGGATTAGTGGTTAGAGGGTAGGAAGAACCTTGAACTTGGAGCCAAAGACACCATGGGTTCTAATTCCTTCTCTTCCTTTATCTTGGGTGATCATATTTCATCCTTTTTGGTCTTAGTGTGCTTGTCTATAAGATGAGGATAACAATACCCGCCCAGCCTAACTTAGAAAAGTGTGCGCCACTGCTGTTGAGTCAATTCTGACTCATAGCAATGCCTTCTTGGGTTTCCGAGGCAGTATCTCTATGGAAGTAGATTGCCCAGTCTTCCTTTTAAAACTTACAGAAGAACTAGGGAGGAATTAGAAGGTTCTGTACACACAGCCTATGGCTGTATGCAGCAGAGGTATTATTATCAATTATTATGAGGTATTATTGTCAATAATAATAATTATTATTACAGCAGTAATGATTATGATGACTCACCAGCAAAATACACACGTCCCCCTGCTGTCCTTTCCCCAACATTTTCTCAGACTGTCTCCCTGTAAGCCTCATCCCCTCTCTTGCAGATCGACGCCACCTCCTTGATTGCCGCTTCTGTAATGGCTGCTCCTTGTGCTTTGGCCCTCTCCAAGCTGGTCTACCCGGAGGTGGAGGAGTCCAAGTTTAGGACTGAGGAAGGGGTGAAACTGACCTATGGGTGAGTGCAGCAGGAGGTTCTGTAGAGGAATGAGGAGGGAGCAGGAGCAGAGGTGGAGGGTAGCAGTGGGTTCCACTTTATTCGCTTGTCACTGTCTTCCACCAAGCCCAGGGTCCCCTCTTCTCTTTCATGGGCCTGGTTCTGTCTTCACTTTCAAAAACATGGACTCCAATTCCTATATCATAATTTCTGACTGGCAGAAAACAACAGACTGATCAAGGCAGGGGAGTGGGGTCCAATCCTTTGGGACGTGGCCTGGTATATGTGCTGAGGAGGGTCATACAATGTTTCTATGCCACCTTCTTTACAAGTCTGTAGTTCTGCCCACTAGTGTGTGTCAGTCACATATTGAATTCCATCCATGATCCACCCACCTCCTCTCTTTGCCAGCCTTAACGACTATTGTATGATATTTAATTTTTAAAAATGTTGAAAAGGCTCCACTTTTAGAAAATGTGGTTGGGGACACATGAGTAGCCCAGTTTCACAACTTCGTGTATGTTTACAGCCCGCTGTCCTATAGAAATGTAATGTGAGCCATGTGTGCAATTTTAAATTTTCTAATAGTCATCTTAAAAAAAAAAAGGTAAAATAAATTTTAATAGTATATTTTATTTAACCCAATGTATCCATATCTATCATTTGAACATGTAATATGTTGTTGTTGGTTGCTGTCAAATTGATTCTGACTCATATCTACCCTGAGTGACAGTAGAACTGTCCCATAGGGTGTTCTTGGCTGTGATCTTCATGGGAGCAGATTGCCAGGTCTTTCTTCTGTGTAGCTTCTGGGTGGTTTTGAACCACCAACCTTTAAGTCAGTAGTCAAGCACTTAACTGTTTGCACCACCAGGACTCCTTTGTAATAATATAAAAAATTATTAATGAGATATTTTACATTCTGTTTTTCATATGAAACCTCCAAATTGCAGTGCATGTTTTAAACTTACAGTGCATCTCAATCCAGATCAGCCTCATTTCAAGTATTCAAAAGCTCCAGGTGGCTAATGGCTTCCATATTGGATGAAGTAGTAGTAGACACCTAGGTCTAATCCCAGTGCTTGGACTGGCTCCTTTTTGGCTCTCAGAGGGAAAACAAGGACCATTCCAGCTCTGAAAGCTCTGCCCAAGGTGCTTTATTAGGGCTGTAGGACAGGAACCCTGCTGTTTGTGAGAACAGGCCAATAAGGATAGCTCTTGGTCCCAACAACAGAGACGCACAGAACCTCTTAGAAGCAGCCAGCAACGGGGCTGCCATCTCCGTGAAAATTGTTGCCAACATCGCATCCAACCTTATTTCATTCCTGGCGGTGTTGGCCTTTGTCAATGCTGCCCTCTCCTGGCTGGGGGACATGGTGGACATCAAGGGGCTCAGCTTCCAGGTATGGTTCTCGAGAGGCCCACCTCAGCCTGTGAACAGCATGGTCCTGGGCCGTGGGTATGGGTGGTGGACATGGGCGGTGGCCTGGAGCACCCCACCTGGGCAGAGGCAGAGCCCCTACAGCACCCAAGCCCAGCCCTCAAAAACTCCTTCTTATGTTCTTCCACCCTAAGCTCATCTGTTCCTACATCCTGCGGCCTGTGGCCTTTATGATGGGTGTGGCTTGGGAAGACTGTGCAGTCGTGGCAGAGCTGCTGGGGATAAAGCTGTTTCTGAATGAGTTTGTAGCCTACCAGGAACTATCCAAGTACAAGCAGCACCGCCTCGCAGGGGCTGAGGAGTGGATCGGCGACAGGAAGCAGTGGATCTCTGTGAGTGTCTCTGTTCCCTCCCTATGATAGAGGGATGACAAAGCTACCTGTGAGGCCGTGTTAGGTAGCTGCTATCCCAGCTTCCTGGGCCTGGCTGAGACACACTGAGCTGACACTTAACCCCCCACTTCTTATTGCCCTGGGAGACAAGATGACTTCAGGTTTTGCTGTGATCTTCCTTGAGGCCCCTTAAGGGGCTGAAGTGTAAGAAAAGAGATATCTAAGATCTACTTCTAGATGTGCCACTTTTCACTGGGTAGCCATGGGCTAGCCACTGCACCTCATCTCTTCTATTGGAAAGCAGGAACATAATTCCTGCCACATTCACCCCAAAGGAATACACGAGTGTCCAGTGAGCTAAGAGACAGAGGGAGACCTCACCACCATGTTCACCGTTATGTAGATTCCCCATTTTATGTTAAATTTATTTTTAAAAACTACAAAAACTGGAAACAAACAAACAAACCCAAATCCACTGCCATCAAGTCAATTCTGACTCATCGCAACCCCCCCCCCCTTGGGTTTCTAAGGCAGTAAATCTTTATGGAAATAGATTGCCCCATCTTCCTTCCTCATAGAGGCCAGTGGGTTTGAACTGCCAGCTTTCTGGTTAGCAGTCAAATATCTTACACAATGAACCACCAGAGCTCCTGAAAACAATGAAAGCGCTACAAAATTAACTTTCCTAAAATAACAGTTCTATGTAACATTACTGAGAATTTAGAGAAGAATGAGAAGTTACCTGGAATCTCACCATCTTAAAATAATAACTATTTTTGTTCTATGCATTTTCTTTAATTTTTTTGATTTGAGTTTACCTAGACAACTAGGTAAACTCAAATCAAAAGAATTAAAGAAAATGCATAGAACAAAAATAGTTATTATTTAAGCCACTCCTCGGAAGGAAGATGGGGCAATCTACTTCCGTAGTGATACTGCCTCAGAAACCCAAGGAGGGGTCGCTGTGAATCGGGTCCAACTCGATGGCACACAACAACAACAGTTGTCATTATAGAATCCACTGTATTGTAGTCAGCATTTTTCCCTACTTAATATAATGATGTAAGTATCATGTTCAATATATGTGTCCTCACATATTTAACCAATCCTCTGCTGCTGAGCTAATCAGGTTAAAACCATTACTTGACGTTTACGCACAATGTTGAAATGAATATCTATGTGCCTAGAACTTTCCCCTCCTCTTGGATCATTTCCTTAGCAGCCTTCCCAGATGTGGGATGACTGGATCACATGGTATGAATCCTGATGTGGTTGCTGCCAGTAACTTTTCCCAAAGGGTTGCAGCAACTGAAATTGCCACCAGCTGTGTCTGGGAGTATTTGTTTCTCCACACACTAAACAGCATTGAGTGTTCTCTTAAAAAAAAAAAAAAGAAAGAAAGAAAAGAAAAGAAGAGAAATGCTTTGCTACTTTAATAGGTAAATAATAACTCATTGTTTTAATTCCATTTATTGGATTACTAGGAACTATTAATACTCTTTTTTTTTTTTTACCTTTTAAATTATTTTTTTTAAATCACAAAAGAATGTACTCTTTAGTTTTTTTTTTTTAATGTTTATATTAAGTAAAAAGGAGCTCTGATGGCGCAGTGCCTAAAACATTTTGACTGCTGACCAGAAAGTTGGTGGTTCAAACCCACCAGCTGCTCCAAGGAAGGAAAATGGGGTAATATATGTCCATAAACATTTACCTCCTCAAAACCCAATGGGGCGCACTAGGAGTTGGAATCAACTCAATGGCAGTGGGTTTGGTTTGGCTCATATGAAGTAAAAAGCTCAAGTCTCCCCTCACTCCTTATCCTCAGCCCTGGTCTCCCCTCTTCCTCACAGGTGGCAGAGGGTACAGCTCCTTCTCCTTCAAACCTTTTTTTCTATGAATTTCATTCCTTCAGCAAATATTTGTTGAGATGTTTTAGATACCAGGCACCCTAGGGTTAAGAAGGGAAATTAGACAGACATCACCCCTGGCCTCATGGAACATATATCTAGGGAGAGGTATGGGGGGCGGGGAAGAAAGAAAGAAAGGGAATAAATAAAATAACCACAAACCGTGGTAAGTTTTATGAAGGAAATCGATAAGAGAAAACAGGGAGGAGCCTTCCTTGACTTGGCTGGTTAAAAATGTCCTCCCAGAGGTGCAGCATTAAGGCCAAGATTTGGACTGACGAGAAGGAACCAGCCAGGAGAAGCTGGGAAGGAATAGTCCAGGCAGGAGAAGCAGTACGTGGAAAGGCCCTGAGGTGAGAAAACCAAAAAAAAAAAAAAAAAAAACCCTGAAACTCACTGCCATGGAGTTGGATCTGACTCAAAGTGACCCCTCCTTCGGTTTTCGAGGCAGTATCAGTATGGAAGTAGATTGCCCAACCTTCCTTCCAAGGAGCGGCTGGTGGGTTTGAACCACCAGCCTTCTGATTAGCTGGAAAATGCCTTAGACACTGTGTCACCAGAGCACACCTGAGGTGAGAAGAAGCTTGGCATATACAGAGAACTGAGAGAAGAGGTAACTGCAGCTAGAGTAAGTGGTAATCATAAAAGAGAGCAGTGTTAGAATACCCAATAAGCAAGGTAAGTACTGGCTTACTTGTGTTTACTTACTAATCTGTAGTGAACAGCGATGTGGTAAAATAACTGTGAAACGTTTCACTACAGCTTGCGCTTACCTTGCGTATTAGGTACTCTGTCCCTGTCAGGGACTGTAATTTTGAAAAGAGGCTTTCCTTCTATAGGAAGATGCTATAGGTAGGGAGAGAGAGAGAGAGATGCCAGCCAGACCTAGAAGCAGAATCTTTGATGTTTTGGTTACCTCGTGCCTCTCTAACAGAAGATACCACAAATGGGTGGTCTTAACGCACAGGGATTTATTTTCTTACAGTTTAGAAGGCTATTAGTCCAAATTCACAGTGCCAACTCTAGGGGCTGGGTGGAAGCCCCTCGACTTTGGGCTTCAGTTCTGCCTCTTGCTCCCAGCCCACTGGAGGTAGAGGTGTCTCTTCACTCATGAGACTAACAGCCCAAAGTCGACAAATAAAATGGCACAGTCCCAATATTACCAAACAACATGGCAGGCCACTAGTTCAAGTCCAGAGACAGTCCCAAGAGACAGGAAACATGGCAGGCTGCTAAATGAAGACTCAGCTACACACAGGGTCCAAGTGTGCCAAAAAGCTGCAGAGACATTTCTCCAACTTCTTTTTATATCCGGGAAGCAGAACCCCTCTCTAAGGCAGCTGTATCAGCTGCTCAGAGTAGAGTCCACCATGGAGTTGATTACTGGTCTCGTCATGGGGAATAACTACATCCAGCTGCCCAGTCACTTAAAACTAGGTCCAGCCAAGTTGACACATAACTACCACATTTAACTACCACATTTGATATGGTGAAAAAATGTGAAATTGTTCACCACAGATTAGTAAGTAAACCCATGCTTATCTTGCTTATTGGGTAATCTGTCCCAGAGGGAGAGTGGCAGAGACCAAAGAACAATAGGAAATTACTGAAAATTTGAAATTTTACATTTTAAGAAAACTTAGGCCACTTATGAGTGTAGACAAACAAACAAGGAGACAGGCTTTATATTTTTCCATCAATTTGTATAAACTCTTATGTTATAAAAACATTTACCCTTTTTTTGTTGTATTTTCTACATGAAGTTTTCCTAGTCCCCCCCCCCTTTTTTTTATTTTGTGCATGTATTTTAAGACAGATTTTTTTTTTTAACATGGATCAATGCTTTTTATTTATTTATTTATTTTTGTAGTGTTCTCTCCCCTCCCCTCCCACCCCCGGTAACCAACAAAAAAAGTTTCCTTCCATATATAAACCTTTCCTTAACTTTTTACAATAATGAGCTAATACTATATTTGTCCTTCTGTGGTTGACTTATTATCTCCCTCAGCATAGTGTCCTCCAAGTTCATCCATGTTATGCAGTGTTTTGCAGATTTTACATTATTCTTTACTGTTGCATAGTATTCCATTGTGTGTATGTACCATAGTTCGGTTATTATCCATTCTTCTGTTGATGGGCCCCTAGGTTGTTTCCATCTTTTGTCTATTATAAATAGTGCTGCAATGAACACAGGTGTGCATATATCTGCTCTTGTTCTGGCTTTCACTTCTTTAGGATGTATAACTAGTAATGGGATTGTTCTGGTGGCATAGTGTCTAAGGTATTTGACTGCTAACCAGAAGGCTGGTGGTTCAAACCCACTAGCCACTCCTCGAAAGGAAGATTGGGCAATCTACTTCCATAGTGATACTGCCTTGGAAACCCAAGGAGAGGTTGCTATGAGTTGGATCCAACTTGACAGCAGTGAGTTTGGTTTTTTTAATGGGATTGCTGGGTCAAATGGTATTTCTAATTCTAGCCTTTTAAGGAATTGCCATACTGCTTTCCACAGTAGTTGTATCATTTAACGGTCCTACCAGCAGTGTATGAGAGTCCCAGTCTCTCCACATCCTTGTCAGCGTTTGTTATTTTCTGTCTTGTTGAACTTGGGGCAAGATAGTATCTCATTATTGTTTTGATTTGTATCTCTCTAATGCTAATGATCGTGAGCATTTCTTCATGTATTTGCTGGCCACCTGATTATCCTCTTTGGTGAAGTGTCTATTCATGTCTTCTGCCCATTTTTTAACTGGATTGTTTGTCTTTTTGTTGTTGAGGTGTTGGAGTTTTCTATAAATTCTAGAGATAAGTCCCTTGTCAGATAAGTCATTGCTCAATATTCTTTCCCAATATGTAGGTTCTCTTTTGGTTCTTTTGGAGAAGTCTTTCGAAGCACATAAAATTTAATTTTTAGAAGGTCCCGTTCATCTAGTTTATCTTCAGCTGTTTGTGCATTTTGAGTTATGCTTGACAGCCTATTTATGCTATAACTTAGGGCCTCTAAATTTGCCCCTATTTTTTTCTTGAGGAACTTTATAGTTTTAGGTTTCACTTTTAAGTCTTTGATCCATCTGGAGTTAGTTTTTGTGTATGGTGTGAGGTACGGATCTTGTTTCATTTTTCTGGAAATGGATATCCAGTTTTGCCAGCACCATTTGTTAAAGAGACCACCTCTTGTCCATTTAATGGATTTCAACCCTTTGTCAAAAGTCAGCTGACCATAGGTAACAAACAGATTTTTAACCAAATCTTTTCCTTTGTGATTGTTTTCCTATTATTTCTGAACTTATATAGTTATTCCATTCCAGAATCTTGACAGAACTGAGTTAAATTCTGATACACCTCTGCCTTCTTACTGTGTGTGAACTTTCTCAATTGCTTAACTTCTCTGAGCCTGTTTGCTCCTCTCCAAAATAATAATAACAAACTGGGTAATCTACTTCCATAGAGATACTGCCTCAGAAACCCAAAGAGGGTTTTTTGCCCATTTTTTAACTGGATTGTCACTGTCAATCCTGTGATTGACTTATCTCCCTCAGCATAATGTCACTGTCACTATGAGTCAGAATCAACTCAATGGCGGTGAGTTTGCTTTTTTTTTTGGGGGGGGGGGTTATTATTACAAAAAAACAAATCAAACTCACTGCCATTGAGTGGACCCCTCCTTGGGTTTCCAAGGCGTTATCTCTACAGAAGTAGATTGCCTAATCTTCCTTCCGAGGAATGGCTAGTGGGTTTGAACCGCCAGCCTTCTGGTTAGCAGTCAAATGCCTTAGGCACTATGCCATCAGAGTTACTATTATATATTTTCTATTAATTGTTGTTTATAATATAATATTCATCTGTTTCAATAATCTAGAATTAACTTTACATATGGCATGAGGTGTGAGTCTAAGTCAATCCCGCCCACCCAAAATTGTTCCACTCTGGCTCTTAATATCATCAACTATTCTTTCTGGGAAATTAAACGACATTTAGAGCAGAAAGGAAAGGGGAACTTCTTTGCATAAGCACCTAATCTGTGCCTGGTACTTCCCGTAGATTTTATGATCCTCATAATAGCTCAGCCGAGCAAGTATTATTATTCCAGGTTTCCAGATGGAGAAACTGAAACTTGTAGAGGCTATTGACTTGTCCAAACTGATAATGGGTGGGGACAAGCTTGGAACCAGTTTGGTCAGCCTCCCTCCCTCACATGCCCTCCACTCTGGCAAGAGAGCACCTCCAAAGGCATGAGAGTATTCACAGTAGACAGAAGCTTCCAGACTACAGACTACAGACTACAAAGAATTGGGGGAAAGGAACCATTCACAAGCCCCTGCTGGACATGCAAAGCTTAGTAGAGACAAAGTGAGGAATTGGCAAACCTAAATCATACTCAGGAGGTTGGTAATTAAGATAAGGGGTTAGAGGGTTAGAGGACCTATGAGAGAAGGGGCGGAGTTTTGAAGTGATGCAGCTTGAGCCAACTCAGAGGTGAGTATGCATGGCCTGGGAGGGGTCAGCACAGAAGGCTTCAAAGGTCAAGGACATATAGGAAGGGAAGAAATTGAGGCTAGGGGACCTAGGTGGTGTGGAGGTGCTCCTGTGCTGTCTGAGGGAAGCCATTTCTCACTCATCTGTATTTTCAGATCAGAGCAGAAGTCCTCACGACGTTTGCCCTCTGTGGATTTGCCAACTTCAGCTCCATTGGGATCATGTTGGGAGGCCTGAGTGAGTCCTATGGGGGTCTCCCCAGCGTCCTGGAGAGTCAAGGACTTGAACTTCAGACCTGGCTCTGAAAGAACTTGCTAGGGACCTGTAGGCCTCAGTTGTCCCATTTGTCTAAGGAAGAGGCTGAGCAATATGGCTCTGGAGGCTCCTCCCATTCTAGAATTCCTTGAGTTCTCTGCTGTTGAGGGAAGCCCAAGAAGTTATCATCTTGGCCTTTCACGTCGAGCCTGGCTTAAGGGCCTGGGGAGGGTGGGAGGTATGGTCCTGGCTCATGCCCATAAGGCTTTGACTTGCCAACTCCCACATCCATAGTGGATAGACAGCCAGGCTCAGCACAACTTCTTAGCCCTTCACAAATTACATATCTGCTTTGTGCTGTCACCCTGCCTGGTGGTATAATCATTCCTTTTTACAGAGAAGGAAACTATCTTGGAGTGGTGAAGTGATGGTCCAAGTCACTCGGCTGGTCAAGTTGCTGAACCTGTACTTAATCCCAGGTCCACCTGACTTCTAACTCATGTTCTTTCCCCTACATCTGCCACCAACGATGTATGTGAGGAGGTCTGAAGCATGTGCTGTTTAGAGGCCTAAGCCAGGCCAAGAAGGGCTCTTGAACTCAGAAAGCTAGTCAGAAGGACAACATCTGTTTTCCTAAACACTCACAAGAGGAAAAGTGGTCAGCAGGCACAGCCATAACCCCAGAGAGTAGGCAGAGAGGCACGTGGCATCCTTGGCCCTGAGCACTCCCGTTGCTTGCAGCCTCCATGGTCCCCCAGCGGAAGAGTGACTTCTCCCAGATAGTGCTCCGAGCGCTCTTCACTGGGGCCTGTGTGTCCATGGTGAATGCCTGTGTGGCAGGTGAGTGCAGGCCTAGTCCCAGATCCACACCTAGGTGTTGGGCTCTGGCCTCTCTGAGAGTCCCTGGGGACAGAGCCTGGGAGGACAGACCCTGCCCTTCAGCTGCTTTCTCTCCAAAGGGATTCTGTACATGCCCAGGGGGCCTAAGGTTGACTGTGTGTCATTCCTGAACATGACCCTCAACAGCAGTAGCTTTGAAGTGTACCAGTGCTGCCGTGAGGTCTTTCAGAGGTGAGGGCCTGGGCTGTGGAGGCTGGGGTGGGGGACCTACTGGGCTTTGGCACCATGGCAAGGGGGGAAAATGTTATGGCTATAGCTGCTGCATCCAGGGAAGGAGGAAGTAGGAGCTTGTGGACTAAACTTGGGGATGAAGGGGTGGGCCAGAGACAGGGAGCAATCTTCCCAGGGTTCACAGCTTGTTCCCAGTCAAAGAGCCAAACCTGGAACTCAGACTACAGGCTTTGCTTTCTTTCCAGCATCATCCCTGAGTACAGTGCAGAGGCCCTGGGCAACTGCTGTCGATTTTACAACCACACAACCTGTGCCTAGCGGGGGCAGAGTGTCTTGGTGCCCCCTGGAAGCAGCTGCCTCCACCTTCCCCTCCAAGCTCCTCCTCCAAGAAGCCACAGGGCTCAGATCTTTCTCAGGAGCGCAACTGGAAAAGTAGTGGGCAGAGAGTGAGCGGGTATACAAGTAAATGAAGGAACTCCCCACTCCTGGATCCCTTTTTGCTACCCCTTTTTCTACCTCCCAAAATGTGAATTCTCAGGGTCACCCCTGCCCCTTCCTCTCTCACCTCCATATCTAAATAGCACCCTGATCTTCTCCATTCTCCCTTCCCCTTAGAGATCTCTTATATGTTTCCTTTCCTTCTGTGTGGGATCCCCCTACCCAAACCTCCTCCTCCCCTTATCCCTTACCTTTTAGCCACCTCCTCCAAGGCCTCTGGCCTCCTCTTCCTGAATTCTAGGATCTCTCTGTGATTTGCCCCTGACTATTTCTCCTGGAGAACCCTCCCTCTATTTTCAGAGACTCCCCCACTGCCTTCCCCCCATAGCACTTCCCAAACTGCTGTCCCATGGAACACTTGTGTCAGGCCCAGAGGGTTCCACAATCAAATAGGTTTGGAAAGTGCTGGGCTAAATAAAGTTAGACAGGTTTCTTTATTGTGGACTTGTCAGAGCTTAATGTGAATATAATATGGCCTTAACAACATTTTCAATGAAAGCACCTCTTAGTATATTCCATGGAATATAATTTGGCCAATACTGGTTAGTGTTCAAACTGCTTTACTTCATTCACATCATTGCAATACCAGCAGAAGTTTATACAGTACTGTGTATCAGGCACTGGTCTCAGTACTTTATATACTTTAACTCAATCTTTACGACAACTTTATGTAGTAGATATTTATTATTATACTTATTATTGAATCGAAGGTGCAAAAAGGTTAAGTAACTTGCACAAAGTGACATAGCTGGGAAGAGATAAGAGTCAGGATTTGAACCCAGGTCATTCAGAATCATCTGTGCTTATTTGTCCACTCTACTAAGCTGCTGGTGTTCAAGGAACTCTGTTGTGTGACCTGTCTTCACTTCCTCTCTTCCACACCCGAGCCATCGAATCCAGTAGAGAGGGTTCTTTCCTGCCTCTAACACTTTGTTCCCTGAGTTCTGTTCCATCAGCGTGGCCTCCCTTCTCCCTTCTGCCTATTCTGCTCCCTCCTCAATTCTCATTTTCCCATAACCTTTGACTGCAGTGCCTGGGATGTGCCGTCCCTGTGGCCACTGGGCCCCTGTGCCCTCACTCCCACCTGTCAGGTCAGCATTCCCAGTATGGGCCAGCCATGGTCCAAGGTAGAGGGAATATGGGACCCTTGGTCAGCACTTACCCAGCTTGGCCTCAGTCAGCCAGGTCACTGCCTCTGCTCTCTCCTTTGGTTCCACTGGGCTTGCTCCTTGTGACCACTACAGGCTGGCTTGGGATCTCTATCCTTGGGACCTTAGAATGCATCCTTAGAATGCAGTTTTGGCCTGACTCCTATGCCCCTTAGGCAGGCCCTAGCTTTGCTGTCTGCAATCCCTGACTCAGCCCCTGTCCCTGTTCTAACTCCTTTGGGCTGTCAGCAGGAGGCCCTGCTGTATAGACTGATAACCATTTCCTGTTACTGGTCCAGGACCTTCCTTGCCACCCAGCTTCACCACCTGGGTCCTAGAGCCCCTAAGGGCTCCCCTGCTCTCTTGCCCTGCGCTTCCTGCACACTCATCACATGGCCAGTCCTGTTCCCTGGAAGACTGAAAGCCCCTTGAAGAGAGGGCTCACAATGCCTGATTTCTCCCACAGTACCTAGTACAATGCTGGGCCCATGAAACTGCTGAATAAATGATTGTGTAATTGAATTGCAACCCTTAGTCTACTTTCAGAGCCACCAGCATGCATTCTGAGTGAACACGTACAGAATCCTTTCAGCTTACAAGTTGTTCTGGTCTCAAGGACAAGCACAGAATTAAGGGCTCCTTAGTCATCTGAGCAGTAGACTCTTACCCTCTCTACCACCCAGTGTTCCTCCTTCCTCACCTTGAATCCAGAGAAGTTGGGACTCTCTGGAAAGTGGGACTGCAAATATATCCTGTCCAGAGAAAGCACTAAGACTGCTGCCAGATGCCCATGTTTAACTGCATGCATCCTAGGTAGCAGTTTCTAAGTCAGGGCTAGCACGGATGCCACTGTTCATCCCTCCTGCTGCCATGACAGGCATTGCTAATCAATCATAGCACTCCTCTCACTGAATCCAGAAGGGGGCTTCAGAATATACATTAGCTTAGTGGTGCCTTTCAGACAAAAACTATTTGCCATCCCTGTGTTAAGAAATAGATCCTAATTGTTGGTTACCAGTGGTGGGAGGGGAGGAGAGGGAAGGGAACACGGCAAAAAATAAATAAATAAATAAATAAATAAATAAATAAAATAATAAAAAAATAAATAATAAAACAAAAATAAATAGCGCCTAAAGACCCAAACTGCCATTCATTTTGTGTTGCTGGCCTGGGAGGGTCTGGACTTTTTGCAAAAGATTCTAGAAATTAAATGGAATGTGAAGCAGAGAGGGATCATTACAAAGAATGAGGCCTGAGGCCTCTGGAAGTGATTTGCCCTCTTCAGGATTGTGTATTTGTTTATTTGATTAAGAAATATATGTTGAATTTTGATCAAAGATTCTATAGAAAAATTCTGAATAAAAGGGGGTAAAATACAGGACAGAAGTTTGAATTCTCATGGAATCCAGACTTTCTGGAGTGATTAAGGCTAGATGAATTCCCAAAATTATTGCCCTGAGATAATCTTTAAATCTTCAACTAAACGCATCTCCTGAAATCTTTAAACCAAACAACAATTTAGCTTAATTAGTAAAAAATGTTCACCTTGAGCATTGTGCTCTTTTCAGAACTATCTATACCTACTACCGGGAACCCTGGTAGCGTAATGCCTAAGGCATTTGACTGCTAACCAGAAGGCTGGCTGTTTAAACCCAATAGCCACTCTTCGGAAGGACCGTTGGGCAATCTACTTCTATAGTGATACTGCCTCAGAAACCCAAGGAGGGGTCACCATGAGTCGGGTCTGACTTGACGGCACATAACAACAACAATAACATACCCACTACCACTGAGTCGATTCTGACTCATAGTGACTTTTTAGGACAGAGTAGAACAACAGAGTTTCCAAATTTGCAAATCTTTACAGAAGCAGACTGCCTCATCTTTTCCTCACAGAGCAGCTGGTGGGTTTGAAACATTGACTTTTTAGTTAACAGCCAAATACCTTAATCATTATACCACCAGAGGTCCTTCAAGAACTGTCTATAGGGGATCAAATTGACAATATCAACTAGAAAGGTTAGAGAGGAATCTGGGGCAGGGGCGTGAAAAGGAAGGTAAGAATGGTTGCCCAATTTGAAGAATATAATCAATGTCACTGAATTGTACATGTAGAAATGGCTGAATTGGTGTATGTTTTGCTGTGTATTTTTTTCTAAAATAAAACAACTTAAAAAAGAAAGAAATATAAGTTGAGCACCTACTATGTGCCAGGCTCTGAGCCATGAATGGGGAAACACCAGTGCACCAGACTTTGTAGCGAGCTATAGAACTGGAATCTTCCTTAGAGAGGGGGTTGGCTGAGAAGGGAAGCCCCAGCAGAGACTGGAGAAGAAGCAGAAGCAAGATTTCTAAGGAAATCTTGAGGAGAAGAAGGAGAAAATTATCTCTAGCAGGACTTCTCAGTCTCCAAGATGAGATTCTTCATGTATCAGAGAATGAAAATAATGCCAGAATATATTATACAAATTACAGTTTATATTTTAGCAATGCAATGTTGGATTATCCACAAGAAAATGGTGGGATTTTGTTTTCAACTAAAGCTCAACTTAATAATAATAAATCATGTGTGTAGTTCTCTTTTTAGTATACCAAATATATTATTGAGATTATTTATATGTTTTTGTATTTTTTACCATTAATTTTAAATTTGGTTTCTTGCAATATGTGGATTCTGTGTTCTTCTGTACATAGGTAATAATAATCAACACACAAGATTTATTTCTTTTTAAAAATTGAAATGCTTTCAACCCATTGTGTGAAATTTGGAACTAAAAATCTAATTTGGAGATAACAGCAGAAATCTATGTTGGAGGTTCTTCATGGATGTGAGACTCCTGTCTCCCACCTACTGCTACCTGCACAAGCCTAGCCACCAGCAAAAAGAAGTGAATGGGCTCTACTTTGTGGAAAGGGCTGAATATCCAGGATTTGGTGAGTGAGAGTAGACCCCTCCTGGCAGGGCTATGATGGTGGCCCTCTAATCTGACTGCAGACATGCTAGGAGAAGCCAAAATGAGGTTGTCCTGCTTCCAAGGTGGGGCCAAACTGGCCAGGGGAAGGTGGGAACAGCATGCTCTATGGAGAGTAGTTACAACCATGAGCTCAGTGGGGTGAGACCAGGACAGCGGCCCAGTAGTCAGTCCTACTCAGATCCAAGGAGCAAGAGGACACCTGTGGGAGTGGGTGGGGTGAAGCGCGCAGCCTGGAACATCAGAATTTGTATGAGGCACCCACACAATATGGCCATACATGCATCTGAGAACAAGGCTTCTCCACTCTGTGCTGAGGACCCTTTTCCCCCAGTTCATCTGGGACTTTTGCAAAAGGCAATAAAAATGAATTATTGGAAAAATAAAAGAATGAAAAAAGATGTATGAAATATAGGCCCCAATTCTTTACTATTAGATTCAACAAACAAAATTACTTTATCAAATTGCTATGAAAACTTCTGAATGTTGTTCTCAATTTCTATACTTATGTTTTATTTAAAAAAAAAAAAAAGCAGCAACAACAAATAAACAGTAAACCAGTTGCCACCAGCAATTCCAATTCCAACTCATGGCAACCCCAGGCCTTTCTTCTAAGGTGTCTCTGAGTAGGTTTGAACCACCAACCTTTCCACTAGTAGTCAAGCACTTAACCATTTGTACCACCCAGAGACTCCATACT